GAAACAGGAATGAAAGGCATACAGTGATTAGGCCTCACTTTCTCAAGGCAGAGAGTGAAGGTTGGATGGGGGAAATGGTTTAGGGTCTTGGGGAAAACACATGGAGTCTCTTTCGACTCTTGCTGACAGAGGTATTACAAAGGCAAAGGGCAAACTTCTTTGGCCTCCAAAGGTTCGCTGACAATCAGCCAACAAAAGGCAGATTCGCAGGAGAAAAGGCGAACAAATGAATTGATGTCCGTGGGAGCCTTCAGATACAGGGGAAATTGTCCATTCTTATGCTTTGGTTCAATAAAATATGGACAACCCTATAGAAATAGGATTGAACAAAAAGTGTGAGATCTAATGCTAATAGACCAGAAGGGGCAACCCAGCAAGGCCTGTCTGTCTAGTTTTCTTCTTGTCCTGTCAAAGCAGGATCCTTCCTTCTGGGTATGGGGCAGGACCTTCCCTGGAATGGTGGACTTATGATCTGTAATCAGACAAGATCAATAATTTCTGTATGGTCAGTTTTTACACAGAAACGTGGGGGGAAAGTTCGAGCAATACTTTTAGGTCCTATTGTGATATTGTGCTGGCCTAGAGCCAGAACCGGAGCAAAACTATTTTATAAAATGCAAAACTGTTTTTAGATAAGTTGAAATGGCTGCCCCATTCTCCTTACAATAACTACTGTCCTTGGCCTCTGTAAATAGAACTGCTAGTTTGTTCTTCAAAACTATGTAAAGCTGCTTACCTTTTCTTATCAGTAATTGCCAGAATTGCTAGCCTTTGCTTACCGGCAATTGCCAGACTAAGCAGCCCAAGCTAGTTCCATCCTGGCTCCTGTGACTTGTAATAAGTAACTAAGGTCTGTGATTTCCACCTTAACCAGATAATGTGTAAACAAATGTTTATCTTGACTTCTGTAAACCACTTAAGTAACAAACGGAATGACAAAAGTCCCCTGGCCCTTGGAATGTCCGGAGACCCCCACCCTCATCTCTGCCCAGGAGGTAATTTACAGAATCCACTAGCCCTGGGAATGTCTGAAGCCTTTTCATCCCCATCCCTGCCCCTCACCCCCACTCCCAAGGTGGTTTTTCGGGTATAAAAAATCGTGGCACCCTCCTGTTGCCACCACAGGTTGGAGAGACGTGAGTCCTCTGTGGTCGCCGGCATAATAAATGACCCTGCAATCTGGCATACTTTGGTCTTGTGGTAACTTTCTACGCTCTGGTCAAATACAACACTATGGCTGGCTTTGGGAAAAAGGGGTTCTGGTTTTTGTGATCCACCTTGGAGGGAAGAGAGAGTCTAGTTTCTATTGCTAGCCTCAGGGAGAATGAGGGGCCAGTGATAGGCCAAGAGAATGTCAGAAACTTTTGAAAGAGAAGCTTCTGGGCTGCTTTTGAAGCCTTCATTTTGGGGTATCATTTTCTTAGCCTCAATAGTATAAGAGAAGAATTCTTTATTTTTTAAATTTTGTGTGTATATTTTTAAAAAATCAGCGATATACTTACAAGGATCAACATTTGAAAAGTATAAAAGGCTGTCTAACTAAAGCAAACTCCTACCTTCATCTTCTAGGAACTCAGTTTCCCCTTCTTGGATATAACTTTCTAAACAGCTTATGTATTTTTTTTAAGGATATTTTGTTCATATACATGGAAATACACACACACACATATCTATATAAATATCCATAGAATATGTGTGTATATAGTGTATATACATGCACATATATATTTCTACGTGTATATATGTGTTATATCAAGTTTAGCCTAAAGCTGCCTCCTTACATATTTAAGTTCAGCCTAAAGATTTTTCCGTATGTTGTGAACTATAACAAGTGGAGGTGTAATCGCTGAGTGTCAGCCAATCAAATGTAGCCAACCTTATTTGAACTGTTCAAACAAGGCAAATACAGAGCTGTAGCCAATCCAGTTGTTTCTGTACCGCACTTCCATTTTCTGTACATCATTTTTGTTTTGCTGTCCATAAATCTTCGACCACGTGGCTGCACTGGAGTCTCTCTGAATCTTTTGTGATTCTGGCGGCTGCCTGATTTGCAAATCAATCATTGCTCAATTAAACTCTTTTAAATTTAATTCAACTGAAGTGTTTCTTTTAATACATGTATGTATGTTATATATATATATATATATATATATATATATATATAAATTTTAAGATTATTTAGGAATTTCTTATGAGTTGTCTGCTTGTTGCTGGATTCTTTCTACTGTATGTAACATTTATACAAATTAAATAAGGCTTTAGTAGGTTGCCTGTCTATTTCAATTCTAGGAGCACCATGATCACTTAGGCAATACCAGCGATATCTGCAGGGCAAAAACATTCTGATAAACGCTTTAGCTTTTCTTCCCATTATGGTAACTCTGTCCATTTTGTGATTAAAGGCATAGACTGGGGACACAGAAAAACCGAGAAGCAAATCCTACTTGGATAGGCGTATTAATTTCCCATTACTGCTATAATGAATTACCACAAACTTAATGGCTTAAAAATACAGTTTTATTTTCTTACAGTTCTTTAGGTCAGAAGTCTGAAATGATTTTTAATGGGCTTGAGGTCAAGGTGCCAGCAGGGCTGTGCTGTGTCAGGAGGCTCTCGGGAAAAACCCATTTCCTTAACTTTCTGGCTTCTAGAAGGTGCCTCCATCTCTTGGCTTGAGGCCCCTTCCTCCATCTTCAAAGCTAGAAATGTGGCATTTTCATTCATTCTCAGTCTCTCTCCTATCCCCTTTCTTTCCCTCACTACTTCTTTCATCATAATATGTTCTCCCTGACCCAACTGCCTTCATCTTATAAAAGCTCTTGTGATGACGTTTGACCCACCAAGATTATCCAGAATAATCTTCCCATCTTGAGATCCTTAACACATCTGTAAGACCTTTAGGGTAACATAAGGTAACATATTCACTGATTCCGGGGATTCGAACGTGGACGTCTTTGGGGAGCCAGTGTTTATCACAGGCAGTGTTAAAAAAATTATTTAACTTCTAGGAGTCTGTTTCCACATCTACAAAATTTTCATAAAAACAAAACCACTTCCCAGTAGATGACAGTAGCAACTGTCCTCCCACTCCAGTTGTGACAAGGTTCCTTGGCTGGGGTGGGGGTTGGAGAATCGCCAAAGGTTGAGAACCACTGCTGTAGTGATTACTATATGCATCCTCAACTTACCAACACAATTTATCACAAGAATCAAATTAGTATTTTGCCACTTTCTGAACAATGTAAAAACTTTGTTAAAAAAAAAATTCTACTTAATCTCTCTCTAGTTCATTGCGCTATGGATGTCATATATTTTATTTCTCTATATATTATAACTCCTAAACTTCATTGGGTTTTGCTTTGGTCTCTTTTCCTTTCCTTCTTTTTTTATTCACAGGGTCTTGCTCTGTTGCCTAGGCTAGAGTGCACTGGCACAATCTCAGCCCACTGCAACCTCCACCTCCTGGGCTCAAGCCATCCTCCCACCTCAGCATCCTGAGTAGCTGGGACTACAGGTGCGCACCACCATGCTCAGTTAATTTTTGTATTTTTTGCAGAAGTGGTGTTTCACCATGTTTGTCAGGCTGGTCTTGAACTCCTGAGCTCAAGCAATTCACCTGTCTTGACCTCCTAAAGTGTTGAGATTATAGGTGTGAACCACTGTGCCCAGCCTGTGGTCTTTAGTAGTCAATAATTTTGAAAATTTAAAGTATTATTTTATATTAATGCACATATTTGACCTTTTTGGCATTCTTCATTCCTTCCTGCAGATCTTTCTTTCATCTTAAGTCATTTCCTTTTAGCTTCAAAAGCTGGTGACATATTTGCTCACCTTTCGTTTGTTTAAAAATGTCTATATTCACTTCATTTATCGAATTCTAGTTTTTGTTTTCTTTTAGCACTTTGAAGATGTCATTTCCATTGTCTTTTGTCTTCCATTGTTTTTCTTCCTTTCTTGCTGTGTGGCTCAGACTAGATGTGAATTCTTCAACTTAAGCGATTCTTCTGCCTCAGCCTCCCAGGTAGCTGGAACTACAGGTGCACACCACTGTACCCAGCTGTCACCAGTTGTTTTCTGATGAAAGTCAGCCATGAGTTTCATTGTTGTTCTACTAAATATAATCTTATTTTCTATGTCTACATTTAAGAATTTATGTGCGCATCTTAAAATTTTTCCTTTATTTTTTGATTGTCAATCAGTTTGCAATGACCTGGATAAATGAACTGATATTGTTTTCTCTGCTGTGTCCATTCTGCTTTAGCTCTATTAAATACAGTTTTAATTTAATGCATTGTAGTTGTTTCAGTTATAGAATTTTCACTTCATTCTATTTTAGCGGCCTTATCTTTTGAAATTCTCATTCTTTTTATCCATTCTGTCAATCCTGTCCTCAGATTTCTTTAATATATTTCAATAGTTATCTTAAAGTCTTTGTTTATTCCAATATTTGAACCATTAGTGGATCTGCTATTATTCAGTTCTTTTTCCTCTTAATTAGGAGTTATATCCTGCTTCTTCACTTACTTTATAACTTTTTATTGGATGCCAGAAATTATGTAGTTAAAAAAACTCTACAGCCCTTGGTATACTGCTTTTTATTTTATTCCTTTTTTACATATATATATATAATTTAAAAATAATTTTTACTTTAAGTTCTGGGATACATGTGCAGAATGTGCAGATGTGCAGGTTTGCTAATACAGTTATACATGTGCCATGGTGGTTTACTGCGTCTATCAACCCGTCATCTAGGTTTTAAGTCCCGTATGCACTAGGTTTTTGTCCTAATGCTGTCCCTCCCCTTGTGCCCCATCCCCTGACAGGCCCCAGTGTGTGATGTCTGCCCCCCCACCCCATCGCTGTGCCCATGTGTTCTCATTGCTCAACTCCCACTTATGAGTGAGAACACATGGTTTGGTTTTCTGTTCCTGTGTCAGTTTGCTGAGAATGGTGGCTTCCAGCTTTATCCATGTCCCTGCAAAGGACATAAACTCAATTTTTAAAATATGGAATGCTTCACGGATTTGTGTGTCATCCTTGTGCAGGGGCCATGGTTAATCTTCTGTGTATTGTTTCAAGTTTAGTATATGTGCTACCAAAGTGAGCACAATACTATCTTCTAAAAGGGATGACACGTTCTTTCCTTTGACTATAATTTAGGAGAATACGTCAATCTTTATAATCCAGATAGAATTTGAGCTGGTTTGTGGGCTGGGATACAGCCTTAGTTAGCTTTATTTCACCTGTGTTTTCAAATAGCTTTAGGGCTAACTTGTTCTGTACTGTATATATTAGAAACTACCTTGTCTAGTGGGACCTTGGGATCTAAGCACCAGAAGACTATGGAGTGCTTACTCTGCTTTTCCAATTCCGTTTTCATACCATTTCCACACACTCACCGAAAGTTTCATGGGGAAAACTCAGCAGGGAAGAAGAACTAGTTCTTTGCATTTGAAACTCCTGAGGACTTCAATCCCTTCATACCAGCCCACAAGGTCTGCAGGCTTTCCTGTATCATAGCAGAGTTCCAGAGAGTGATATAAGCCCAGTCTTCCACCAGCCCCTGTGGAAATTCAGCAGAAGAGAATTTGGCCACTGATACCTGCTCACCTAGATATATCTTATCCTCCCCTGTGATTTAATTTTGGATCATTTTTTCATCTGCAACTATCCAATCTTTGATATGGGGGAGATGATCCAGTAATTTTTAAAGTTTATCTGGTAGGAGAAATGGTCCCTCAAGACCTTCTACATCTTATCTGAAGGCTGTAAGTTCTTACCTTTTAAATACTTTTAAGATCTCTAATGATGTCCCTTTTAAATTTCTGCAATTTTTAAGCAGAGTTTTCTCTGATTTCTTTGTAATGAGTCTTGATAGGTGTTTATCTGTTTTATTAATCTCTCAAAAATACCAATTTTTAAATTGTATGTTTTCTATTTTGAGTTTTTTCTCATTAACATTCCCTTCTACTTTTTTTTTGCATTTAATTTGTATGCTTTTTAGCTTCTTAGGAGATGATTAAATAATTTTTTCAGGTTTTTTTCAAAGTATGTGTTTGATTTTATAAATTTCTCTGTAAGCACTATTTTATCTACATTCCACAAATTCTGATAGCTATACTTTTAATTTAATTCTATATTTAAAACTTAAATATATAATTCTATATTATTCAGCTTAAAATATTTTCTAATTTGCTTTGTTATTTCTTCTCTGACTTGGGTCATTTAGAAAACAATTGCTTAATTTATAAACATTTGGTGATTTTCTGGTTATCTCTTGGTTGCTGATTTCTAACTTACTTCTACTGTGCTCGGAGTACTGATTCTGGCTTCATGGCCCATTTTGGTGAATAAGCATGTGCCTTTTAACAGAATGTGTGTTCCACAGCTGCTGGTATAGTGTTCTGTATACATACCAGTTAGGTATCATTGGTTAATTGGCTTGTTCAAAAATATATCTTTTCATTTTTCTTTTTGTTCTATCAGTTACTGATAGGGAGCTGTTCTCAACCTATGAATGCACATTTTTGTTTCTCCTTTCAGTTTGATCAGTTTGTGATTTATATTCGAGCCTGTGTTATTAAGGATATACACAGTTATGTTCCACCAAAATTAACCTTTGGTTCTTTCAAACTCTGCCTTTTTACTGGTAATAATACTTCTCATCTTGAAATCTTGGTTTCATGTTACTATACCTACAGCAGCTTTCTTTTGATTGGTGTTTGCAAGGTACCCTCTTTTTGGCCCCTTCTGGTTCTTAGATATGTCTCCTGCAAGCGACATTTGATACAGTTATTATTATTTATTTCTCAATATGGCCATGTTTGTGTTTTTAAAGGATATTTAATGTCCATTTATATTTAATGTAATTGTTGATATATTTGGCTTTAAATCTGTTATCTTAGTGTATTTTCTATGTGTTCCACCTGTTATATGTTTTTTCTGATCTTTAGTCTTTTAAATTAATCAAACATTTTAATATTACTCTTTTGCCTCTATTGTCTTCTTTCTCTCGCTTTTTTTAAGATAGAATCTTGCTCTGTTGCCCAGGCTGGACAACAGTGGCAAGATATGGCTCACTGTAGCCTCAATCCCCTGGGTTCAAGTAATCCTCTCACTTCAGCCTCCCGAGTAGCTGAGACCACCAGCATGCACCACCATGCTTGGCTAATTTTTGTGTTTGTTTTGTAGAGACAGAGTCTCACCATGTTGCCCAGGCTGGTCTCAAACTTCTGGGCTCAAGTAATCGTCCTGCCTCACATTCCCTTAAGTACTAGGATTACATGAGTGATCAGCCTCTTCTCTTTATAAAGTTTTATTTTATAACAGCTATATTTTAGAATCTGTCCTAAACATTACAAGATACTTTTTTGACCTAGTCGACTTCAAATTTTACTTTTACTATTTCTAGGATAAATCAAAGCTTAAAAACTGTAACTCTGTTTACCATTCTCTTCCATTTTTTTGTGTTGTTGTCACGTTTAAATTATGTATAAAATATGCTACATTTGTATGTGTATAATTTATTTGCACAAGATGACTTTTTTTTTTTTTTTTTTTTTGAGACAGAGTCTCCCTCTGTCACCAGGCACCAGGCTAAAGTACAGTGGTATGATCTCGGCTCACTGCAACCTCTGCCTCCCACGTTCAAGTGCTTCTCCTGCCTTAGCCTCCTGTAGTAGCTGGGACTACAGGCTTGAGTTACCACGCCCAGCTAATTTTTGTATTTTTTTTTAGTAGTGACGGGGTTTCACCATGTTGGCCAGGACAGTCTCAATCTCTTGACCTTGTGATCCTCCCCCGTCAGCCTCCCAAAGTGCTGGGATTATAGGTGTGAGCCACTGCACCTGGGCAAGATGCAGTTTTATTAGTCACCTGTTATTTAAATTAATCCACGTATTTACTCTTCTTTTCTGCAAGTGTTCTTCTATTGGGAATCATCTTCCTTCTGCCGAAAGAACCTCCTTTAGTAGTTTTCTAATGTTACTTTGTCAGACGCGTGTGACCCAGACCAACTCCATCTTAAATAGGAGCTAGGTAAAATGAGACTGAGACCTGCTGAGCTGCATTCCCAGATGGTTAAGGCATTCTAAGTCACAGGATGAGATGGGAGATTGGCACAAAATATAGATCATAAAGACCTTGCTGATAAAAAAAGGCTGCAGTAAAGAAGCCAGCCAAAACCCACCAAAACCAAGATGGCCTCGAGAGCAACCTCTGGTTGTCCTCACTGCTGTACCCCCACCAGCACCGTAATGTTTACAAATGAAATGACAACATCAGGAAGCTATCCTATATGGTCTGAAAAGGGAAGCCATGAGTAACTCACCTCTTCTTTAGCATATTTTCAAGAAATAACCATAGAAATGGGCAACCAGCAGCCCTCAGGGCTGCTCTGTGGAGTAGCCATTCTTTTATTCCTTTACTTTCCGAATACATGTGCTTTCACTTTATGGATTCACCCTGAATTCTTTCTTTCACAAGATCCAAAAACCCTCTCATGGTTCTGGATTGAGACCCCTTTCCTGCGACAACTCTACTAATGACAAATTATCATACTTTCAGAAACATTTATCTTGAAATGTTTTTATTTTCTGTTAAATCCCAGCTTTCTAAGTAGCCCTGAGCTCATTTATTTTGATTTTTTCCAATCAGTGAGGGTGCCAGAATCTTTTGATTGCTACTTTCTGATCTGCCTCTATGCTTTTCTCTAAAAATTGGCAAGAGCCTTATGGAGGGGAAAAAATAAGGAATATAGGGATCTTCTCAATACATTTTCCTTCTCGCCAGGATCTTGATCTATTAAATCCTAGCTGCCTTAGTTATTCCCTGATGAATGTAAACAGTTTTTTAAATAATGTTAATTTATCTTTCTTAGATTTCATAGTTGTTTTCAGTGGGAAGTTTACTATGAATGAAGCTTCTCTGTGACAGCTAGAAGTAGAATCTACAAATTATTGTTTGTTTTTAATGAAACATATGTATTAAAAGGAAGTCTCTCCTCACCCATATGGTGGCCTTTCAGATATTTTCCCACAGCTTCTACAAAGCCTGCCAAGCTTCTTTTCTCTAGATTAAATGGCTAAAGTTGTTTAATGTGACAAGATCTCTAGACCCCTCCCCATTCTGGTTTCCCAACTTATCTTTGGACTTTTTTTTACACTAGAGAACACAAAGATTATCATTCCTGGTTTTGGACTCAAGTTGCTTTTAAATCCTGGACCCCTTATGTTAAACGCTTTGCCATGAGGAAGTTAACTTATGTAAGCCTTTGATTTTTCACCTGCAAGATAAAGGGTATTACCAAGCTTGCAGAATCATTTTGAATTAAACGGATGCCTCCGTATAGTAGGCACTCAATAAAGTTAACTGCTGCAGCTGCTTTCATGTTTGCATACTTGTTACTTCTTTGGCAGGGCATCCAATTGGCATAAATTCTTGGTATTGTCCTAATGGGTTTGCTAAACTTTTTTTTGTATCTGTTTTTTATATGTACCTGGTTTAGTTTTTACTGTATAAAAACTGTAGAATCGTCCTCAAAGAAGGTATAAATCTGAAAATATATCTTTCCTCCTCCTTAACACCTCCCTCTTCTTGGCTGAAGAAGTGGGAGAAAAGATGTTTTTGGAAGAATTTAATTTAACTGCAGGAATACCATTTAAACAGTAAAGTGTTCTCCCCCTCTTCACAATGAGCCTTTATCAGGATTTCATTTGGCTCCTCTTTGTTTTAGAGAAGAAAATTAATAAATGTTTTGGATGCATTTAAGTCAAGGTCGGCAGCAGCTGCTGTGCACTTGTTTGAAATATCTATTTTCTTACACTCATTTCTGACCCTTCTGAATCCTGTTATCAGTGCCTGCACATTTTTGGTAACTGATTGTCATTACATTGTAAGGATGCTGCCCGGATGATTGCTCCTCAACCAGAGATGTCAGCCAGCTGAAACAGACCAGGAGACAACAAAGGACATTCCTGACTTGGGGAAAAATGGAACAGGAGAAATTTACATGTTTTTGACGTTTATATTCTTTTGAGTAGCTTTTGTCTCTTTGAAAATTCCCTGAACTTACTACCTAAAGCAGAAGAATGGAATCTAAATGCAAGGG